ATGGTTGTATTCCAATAAAACTTTATTAACAAAAATAGATTGCAGGTCACATTTGACCCACAGACTGTACTTAGCGAACTCCCGGTCTAAAACATCCTACAAAATTATATTCCACAGAGTGTACTGTGGCCCTCATGAGAGAAACAGCAAATTAATAAACCTATTACAACTCAGGAGTCCTGGTGTGGCACTGAGGATAAGAAGCACTGGACTACTAACCACAAGGTCACTTTAAACCCACCAGCTACTCCTTGGAAACCCTATGCAAGGATGCTATTAGTTGGACCAACTTAACAGAATGGAACAGCAACAACATTGTGATTAAGCACCATTGAGTTGGTTCTGACTCATAGCAACCCTCTGTACAACAGAATGAAATTCCACCTGGTCCTGCGCCATTCTTCCAATCGCTGCTACACTTGAGCCCATTGTTGCTGCCACTGTGCCAATCCATCTCTTTGGAGGGCTTCCTCTTTTTCTCTGACTTTCCACTTTGTCAAGCATGATGTCCTTCTCCAGGGACTGGTCCCTCCTGATAATATATCTGAAGTATGAGAAGCGAAATCTGGCCATCTTGGCTTCTAAGGAGCATTTTGGCTGTACTTCTTCCAACTGAGATTTGTTTGTTCTTCTGGCAGTCCATGGTACCTTTAATATTCTTCTCCAATACCATAACTAAAATGCATCAGTTCTTCTATGGTCTTCCTTATTCATTGTCCAACTTTCACATGCATATGAAGCTATTGGAAATAACCATGGCTTGTGTCAGGAGCACCTTAGTTCTCAAACTGACATCTTTGCTCTTGAACACTTCAAAGAGGTCTTGTGCAGCAGATTTGTCTAATGCAGTACATTGTTTGATATCTTGACTGCTGCTTCCATGATGTTGATGGTGGATCCTAGCAAAATAAAGTCTTTGACAACGTCAGTCTTTTCTCCGTTTATCACGATGTTATTTATTGCTCCAGTGGTGAGGATTTTTGCTTTCTTTATAGAAATCTATGTGACTTTGTTTAACCCAACATATATTAGCACCACAGAACTTTTTTTTTTTTTTTTTAATGTAATCACTATACACTTTTTTAATATAAGGGTTCACCATAGATGGCCCTGCTGGCATTCAAAATACCAGTGGCATAGCTTCCAGCATCACAGCAACATGCAAGCCACCACAGTACAACAAACTGACAGCCAAGTGGTGAAACACCAACATAATAAGTATAAATAATTATAAATTGTAAAAGAACATTGAGAGAAAGTTCTGTGGGGTGAATAATGGGAAATCTCATTTAGATCATGGCAGTTCCGTACACAATGGAATGAAACACCACCCACTCTTGCATCCTCCTCCTCAGTTGTGTGTGGGACGTTTGTGAGCCATAGGATCTTCACTGACTGATGTTTGAAAGGCCTCTCTTCCTAGTCTGGAAGCTCCTCTGAAGCACTTCAGCATCCTAGCAATACGAAAACCTCCACCTGATATGAATGGTGCTTGGGCATAAGGTCCTTTGGCTGGGAATTAAACCTGGCTCTCCTGCATGAAAGGCAAGGGCACTGGCTTGATGGCAGCTAACAACACAATAGCCTTGTAGATAAGGAAGACAGTCTTCCTGAGCAGATGACATTCAGGCTGATATCTGAAGAATGAACAGAAAGGAAATTGTGATGCAGACAGTTGAGGGAGCGTTCCAGTCAAGTAACAGCCAGAGAGAAAGTACCTTGGAGTATGTATTGTAAGACCCAACATGTCACGTGCCAGTTGACATCTGCTTTCACCAGTTAAGCTCCCTAGCCCAACGGAAGCCTGTCTTCACCTGCTAGTTTTCCCTATCAGCTGGACCAACTACATGCCAACCAATCTTCAACCTAACAAGTTTCACTTCCATGATAGTCGTACAAGCCAAGTACATCCTCCTGCAGGAAACAGGGGCACCCCACCCTCCTGTAACTGCAAAGCCTGCCACCCACAGCCTCTCCCAGTTCACTCTGATGTCAAGTGCAACTCCCATGTGGCCCTGAATGGCATGCAGTGTCTTCCTTCCCTGAAGCTTTGTGCGTATGTGATTAATAAACAGCTGCCCATATCATCTGACCAATGGCAAGTATTGAATATTAATCATTCCCAGAACCCTAAAGTGAGATTCCCTGCCTTACCCACAAGTGAAGAGGAGGTGGACAAAACAGGAGGTAGAAGAAAATCAGTGCGAATGGATTGCAGTATGTAGAGAAAGAGTGCCCTGTGCTGGTGTCAGGGGACAGAGAGGAGCCAACTGTTTCGGGGTTTCCCTGGATGGATAGGGTAAGAAGTTGGCACTGCCCTCTAAGCACCATGGGAAGCCACTGAAGGATTTTAAACAATGGAATGCTGCCATTCATGGTTTTTAAAGATCTCTCCAGTTGGTATGTGAGAAATTAACTGAAAAGGGACCATGAATGAAAGAGGAACAACCAATCAGTAGTCAGCCCGAGAGCTTCATTTCCTTTGCTTCATTCCATAACTGGAACTAGGGTTGGAGCAATGTGGCTAGAAAGTCATAGAAAGATTTGAAATATGCTTTGAAATTCTTATCAACTGAACTTAGTGATAGTGTGGTTTATAGGGGAATAGACAAAGGAATGAGTCAAAGATGACCCTTGAGTATCTAGCTTAATGTTGTTAAGGTGACGTCAAGTCATTTTCAACTCATAGTGACCCTGTATGGGGTTTCTGAGGAGCAACTGATGGGTTTGAACTACCCACCTTGCAGTTAGCAGTCCAGTGCTTATCCTACAGTGTCACTTGACAGTATCATTTTAGAGATGGAGAAAGAATAATACCCAAACAACCCAAACCTGCTGCCTTCCAGTTGATTCTGACTCACAGAGACCTTGTTGAACAAAGTAGAACTGTCCCACAGGGTTTCCAAGGTTCTGAATCTTTACAGAAGCAGATGACCACATCTTTCTCCCATGGAACAGCTGGTTGGGTCAAACCGCCAACCTTTTCGTTAGCCTCTAAACACTTAACCACTGTACTACTATCAGGGCTCCTTGAAGAAGGGATATGTTGAGTTTTGAATTGTGTTAAGTCTGAGATAGCTGTGAAACATACAGGTAGAGTTATCAGAAAGGCAACTGGAGATCAAATCTGGAAATAAAGATTTGGTAGTCATCAGTGTGACTCAGCGGCACTTACCAACAGCAGCAAGTGTGTAGATCAGCCTCTCTTAATAAAACTTGCTGAGATGACAGGAATGTTTCTATCTTTGCCATCCAATATGATAACTCACCAGATGTGTGGTTATTGAGCACATGAAATGGGGTGGCTGTGAATAAAGAGCTGAACTTTTTCATATTCATTTCCATTTAAATAATTTCATGCAAAAAGTGACTCATGTATTGAAGAGTACAGTTATGGGTGGTATGGTATTTAAAGCCATGAGAATGCAGGAGACCACCTAGGCCCTAGGGGAGGTATAGAAAGAGTTGCCAGAGAGCAAACCTTGAGGACTCCAGTGATAGTGTGGTTTATAGGGGTTTGTTGTCTGGGTAGAGGACGATGGCCCAGCAAAGGTGGCTA